ATCCTGGCAATGAGCCTCCAAGAAATGTTATGGGAAACTCGAACAGAGACATGGGACTCTGAGGCAAGGAAGCAATGCTTTATTGTGCCAGCACAGACTTGTGTCCAAAGGCTGAGCCCTGAGAACAAAGGGGTCTCACCTTATGTACCCTTGCAAGCAGGTTACAGAGGCAATAAAATTGAAAAAATATAGGCCATATACAGTTATATGCAATTCTTTATGCTACTTCATCCTAGTGTTAAGTGCCCTTCTACCCCTCGTGCTAAGTGACCTTCACATTTGGATTCCTTAGGTTTTATCTCTCTGCCCTGCCATCTCTTCTTCCCCCCTACTATTTTATCAGAACACAGGCCTGTCTGTTTCCCTTCTGGTCCTCCTCCCTGCTACAAAGGCACATCCTCAATAGTACAGTTTTTTCTCATTTCAGAGCACAGAAAAAACCCTGTATCCCAAATGAACATGACTATGTTTCATAGCCCTTTCTGTGTCTTTGTTAATGCTTTTCCATTTCTTTAGAATGCCTTCCTTTATTTCTACCAGGGAAGTGTTGACTCGTTTTTTAGTACCTAATTTAAAATCTCCTATGTACATACATTTACATATACATGTGTTTATACACAATATGAAGCTTTGGTAAGGATAAAGATGAGATATATACATAATATGTACATATGCATGTTTTTTTTTTCTTGGCAGTATTGGAGTTTGAACTCAGGGCCTACATCTTGAGCCACTCCACCAGCCCTTTTTTGTGATTTTTTTTTTTTTTTTTGAGATAAGGTCTCATGAACTATTTGCCCAGGCTGGCTTTGAACTGAAATCCTTCTGTTCTCTGCTTCCTGAGTAGCTAGGATTACAGGTATGAGCCACTGGCACATGTGTTTTTGTAAAGCATTAACTAATGCCTTAGGCATAGCTGGATTTCTCTTATGTTGCCATAGTTCTTTACATATACTTGTGTATTAGCATATTTTTCTACCTATCAGTGTCCCCAATAATCAGTTAACCTTGATTCTGCCATATTGTATGCATAAATGATGAATGAGAATATACATTGGTTGCATTGGCACCCAATGAAGGAGCCAAGGTTTTTGTTTATTTATTTGAGTTTTGACACAATCAGTGCTTATTTTTTAGCTCATTTTGTTCTTGGAAGATTTTATGATCTGTAAACTCTTAATCTGCTTTTTCACAAAGTTCTGAATTGCCAGTTTCATTCATATTTTAGTAAATAAGTGTATTGTGTAAAAATACATAGTATGCTGAAGGTACAAACTTAGCCATTAGGGAAATGTAGATGCAAAGAGCCAATGTATTGTGTGTTAGATTGCAGGAACTTGGCAAGCTAATGGGGATGCTGCTAGAGGGAAAAAGCAGTATATGTGAAAGCACAGAATTTTGAGAAACCATGAGGGGTGCTCAGGGAAACATAGGAACTTTAGTATTGTTGAAGCATATTGTATAGGTTGAGAGGTGACCAGACATCACGACACAGGTAATTAGGTGGAATGGTTATACAGTAACTTGTATGCCATGTTGATGATAAAGGTTAATAAAGGATATTGAAGAATCTGCTTTAAAACCCTTTTTCTGGCAGCTGTGTGGAAGATTCATTAGGGAGAAAAGAAAGACTAGGTATATAGGAGTACTATTTGGAATGTTATTACAGGAGTCTGGACAAGAGATACTGATTTTCTGAACAGGTCCAGCTGCAGTGGGGACAGAGATGAAAAAATGGAAAGGAAGAATGTTTATGCTTAGTGTTTCATTAGAAATGAGGTGGAAGAGTAGTTCACAATTTTTTTAGGATTCTAGTTTGGGTGAAAAGTGGATGTTGGTGAGAAAAAGTGATTTGGCAAGTAAGTTAAGTTTGTTGTATTTGAGATGCTTACGGAATGCAGGTGGAGATGTATGTTTTGGGGTGGATAGATCCAAATGAATCCTGGACAGGATTTTTGGCTAGATGTATGGATTGGGTAGTCATTGGCATGCGTTTTTGTAGTCATTAGCATGTGTTATATACTAGGAAGAATGTTGAGTCAGAAGATGGCGAGGTCTGTGAGAGAGTCTTGAGGAACAGTGATCTTTTGTTTTGGCTTTTATGGAATGAAGAGAAGGTAGCCATTCCTATGTATAAAAGTTGTATGTTCCCATAAAACAAAACTTCCTTTCTATAGACCCTTCAAAGTCATACTGTATTTACTTGCCGCATACAGTGCAGAAATAGACGGAAGCACCACACTCGTGTCATCACTTAATCTCTGGATCTGTAATACAGGAGCATTTTAGAATTGTCATGTACTTGATGAAAGCAAAACAAGTTTATTTCTTTCTACCTTAAATTGCAGAATTAGAGCTGTATTAACCTCAAGGTTTTTTTCTAACCACTGTTTTATCTTTGATTAAATATTCTTTAACATATAGCATGCTCCTGCAGAATAGATTGCATGGGAATATTGTGGATTAGAGTGAAAGATGGGCAGATAGGAGCTGATAGTGTTTTTAGAATTGATATCAGGCAATATTTTTTAAAAGTAAGTTTTGCAGTAAGACTTCCTCAAAGCCCTATGTGTGGAGTGTGTTTATGTGTTTTCAAGAGTAGAAAACTACTTTTTTTTAAAAAATGAGATTGGTGATTAAACTAACCACTTGCTAGACAAGTACTCTACCACTTGAGCCATGCCTACTCCTTTTGCTTTTTTTTTTTAAGATAGCATCTTACTCTTTTGTTCAGACTGGCCACAGACCTTGATCTTCCTACCTCTGTTTCCTGAGTAGTTGGAATTACAGGCATGTGCCATTAGGCCTGGCTTGTTTTTAGGACACAGTCTTGCTAATTTTTGCCTAGACTGGTCTCAAATCTCAGTCCTCCTATTTCCAGTTCCCATGCACTGTGATTATAGACATGAACCACCATGCCCATACATTATTTTTTGGAATAGGGTCTTGCTATGTTGCTCAAGACTGGCTTTGAACTTGTGATCCTCCTGCCTTGGCCTCCCAAGTTCTGGTATTGGCCTCTCAAGTGCTGCTATTACAGGCATGTACCTCCATGTCTGGTTGGAACTACTTCTTTATTACTCATGAACATTTTGTTTTTTTGGTAGTTCTAGAGTAGGAACTCAGGGCTTTGTGCTTGCCAGGCAGGTGCTCTATCACTTGAGCCATGCCACCTACTTTTTGTGCTTTAGTTATTTTTTTCAAATTAGGGTCTCTTTTATTCTCTGGCTAGCCTGAATAGCAGTACTCCTATTTATACTTCCCACATAGCTGGGATGACAGGCATGTGCCACCACACCCAGTTTTTTATGAGTTGAGATGGGGTCTTGCTAACTATTTGCTTGGGGTGGTCTCAAACTGTGATCCTCCTGATCTCTGCTTCCCACGTAGGTAGGATTATAGGCATGAGCCACCATGCCTGGACCATGAAAACTTTTGAATGCAAGTAATTTAAACAGAAATTTAATGTTGAGATATTTCTGTTTTGTATGGAATTAACTATGCTGAAGTAATATGTTATATTTTGAATACTAATGACAATTCAAAAGACATAGAAGTTAAGTAAATAATTTTCTAGAGACCAGCACACAGTTGGGGAGAAGGCTATTTTAGCCATTTACTTGCTAATACATTTTGCAGTCAGATAGACATAAACTGTTAGCTTTAATGTCATCTGGGTACCATCATTAATTGATTCTCAAAAAAGTATTTTTCATATGTATACAACTTGTCTTCTCAGTTAACTGAAGGCTGAGACAGTTTAGAATTTGTGTCTTTCATAGTACTTTTATAACACTTGAAATAATTATAAATACTTCTTGAGTAAAGTCACTAAAAAGTTAGCAGATAAAATAGTTTATTTTAAGGAAGTCACGTTTAAGGGTTAAGTTAGGAAGTTCAAGAGATCATGTAGTGTTCTGGAAAGAACATGGAATTTGTCCAACAAATCTATACATTTCCTGGTTTAGTTAGGTTTATGACTTTAGGAAAGTCATTTAATTAATCTGAGGTTTAATTTCCTCTTCTATGAAGTGGACATAATAATAATTGCCTAATAAATAATGACAAGGTTTAAATAAGATTGTAAGAGAAAGCATTTGGTACATGGTATGGGCTCAATAAAAAAGTAACCATTATTACTAGTCATTCCATCTTACAGCTGTCTGTGTTAGTGCTTCTCATATGTTTTTGTTGACAACCATTGTAATAAACATACTTTCTTGTCATTAGTCAAAACAAAAGTTAATAAAATATTATTTAACTTTACTACTTAAGATAAACTTCTGTTGTAAATGATAACTAAAAAAAAGTTGCAACCCAGTACATTGGTTTCATGATTCATTAATTAATTATAACCCCAAAATTTTGTGTTTTCCATTTGAAAAACATGGATCTACAGCAGCATCTTTGACATAGTACTGTAGTTGATAGTCTTAACCATGCACTAATACTGAGGTTTATTGTAAGATTTTTATATTACATGGGACTCTATATTAGTTTAGATTTTACTGTTAACCTTAGGTTAACAAGGAAATTTACTGATTCAAATACTTCTCTACTATTGTAGGTGTCTAATCTGTGCTAATTATGATTTACTATATGACTTTATTCTTTAATGATCAGAGTACTTTAATTTTTTTAGTTGCATTCCTATGAAGAAGGCCAGAGCAGTTATTATTTTACTAATAAGGATATCTACAGAGAGGAAGGTTATGATGTCAAATCTCAACTAGTACAAATTAGAACAAGCTTCTCTAGCTGTTATTTGTTTTAGTCTAAAAGATGCTGTAAGGGTTTTCTTTATATTTTGTAAACTCCAATGAGTGTAGACAATGAAGTAACTTTGCATGATAACAGAATTTGGGCTTAACACCAAATATTACAATTTTTAATGGCCCCATTGGTATGAATAAGACATTTGGCTATATTTCACAATATAAAAAGTGTTACTTTATTATATTAAATACTATTTTGAAACCTTTTTCTGCTTTTTTCTATAGGGCTTCATATGTCCCCAGTGTATGAAATCTCTTGGATCCGCTGATGAGCTTTTCAAACACTATCAGGCAGTTCATGATGCTGATAATGATGCAAGTCATGGAGGAGAGGCTAGTCTCGCATTGAAGCGGTACAGTATGACAGTTTCAAAGTGGAATATTGCTATGGAATGTGCTTGTGAAGTTGTTGAGTCATAATTAATTTCTAAAAATAGAGTTGTTTGGAGATATTGGGGCTTAAACTCAGGATCCCATAGGAACTCTACCACTTGAGCCACATCTCCAGCCCTTTGTGCTTTAGTTATTTTTTGGATAGGGTCTCACACTTCTTACCCAGGGCTGGCTATTATCCTCTTACCTACATGATCCCAACTACATGATGGGATTATAGGCATGCACCACCACCATTATTTAATTTAACTATGCCCTCATTTAGCATGGCCTTCCTCCTTTATCATTGTAACCTATTCAGTTGGTGATCAGCAATTATCTGTACCAGCATCTGCAACATGTTACAGAGGTTATGTTTTTATGAGGATTGAGTTGGCAAAAGATTAAATTATGCTTACCGTATTCTGTTTAATAAAGAATGATATACTAAAAAAGGAATGATATGTTTTGGTTAGATAATTTTATAGTAAGTTGCTAAAATAATGAATTGAGCCAACAATTAAAATTTGTTTTTAATTTAAATATTAAATTGTTAGAAAAAATAAATTAAAATTAATATATTTATTATAAGTAAATAATAATATATAGTATATAATAAGCACATATACACATTGTGCTTCTTGGCAATTTACCTTGATCATTTTGAGAACTAAAACTAAACTAAAATGTATAACTACTTAGAAAAGCATTCAGCAATAAACTTTGCTTTTCTTTTCCTGTTGAGAATTGTTGTCTTTTGCCTCCACTAAGGAATAAAGCTTTATTTCTTTTTACTTCTACAAATTTTTTCGTGCTTTTCTTTAAAAATATTTCTTTGTTGATTAGTCTGTTGTAACACAAAGAATACTAAGTAAAAGAAAATACTATGAATATGTACCTTTGTGGTTGATAGATACTATAGAACTATAAAATGTGTTTTTTTATTAGAATATGTGGGAAGGCCAGGTCCATTGGTTCATGCCTTAATCCCTGCTACTTGGGAAGTGGAGATTGGGAAATAATGGTTCAAAGCCAGCCATGGCAAAAGTTAGTGAGACCCTACATGAAAAATAAATAAAGTAAAAAAGGGGTGAAGACATGGCTTAAGTGATAGAGTCTTGCCTAGCAAGCCTGAGGCCCTGAGTTCAAACCCCAGTACTGACAAAGGGGAAGCTGGGAGGGGGGTGTGAGCGGGGGGAAGCCAGTTCCTTAAGGGAAGAATGGATTGTCCCTTTTATATGACTATGAGTGCACCTTGGTAGTTTTATGTTTTAGTTAATAATTATGGTTATTATCCTTTTGTCATTTGTTGGGAAATAGGTAAAAATAGGTAGGTATATTAAATCATATTATAAAAATGCTTTTATATTTAGTACAAGTTTAACAGAGTTGCCTTTTCAGCCATGAATTAGACCATATGCAATACTGTACATGAAGTTTTAACGTAAATTATCTCACACTCTACCCCCATTCTCTTAGTATTCAGCTCACTTCTAAAGCTTGGACTTTGCCATTCTCTTGAAATTTCTTCTCCCAAAGCCAATAGCATATTTTCAGTTCTTATTTTACTTGACCTTTGTTTTGGTAAACTATTACTGTGTAACAAGTCACCAAAGCTTAGGGGTTTAAAACTGCAATAGTTTATTACTTCTTATGACTCCTTGGGTTGACTTCATGGGTCCTTTGCTTTATTGAGGTCAGTTGTGGTGGTGGGAAGACAGGAAGGTCCAAAATGGCTTCTCGGTCATAACTGGTAGTTGATGTTGGATGCTGGCTGGCAGCTCAGCTGGGGTTATATGCCAGAGGTCTAAGTTCTCTCTGGCCTCTTTATGACTGCTTGGACTTACAAATTGGCAGATAGATTCCAAGAAAGAACATTTCATGAGGAAAGAAGCAGTGCTGGCCATGTTCAGACTGAATTCAAAAGTATCAGAGCATCACTTCTGTCATATTCTATAAGTAAAATTAATCACAGGGCCAGATCACATTCAAGGAGCCACAAAATGAACTTCATCTTTCAGTAGATTTCTTTTTCTTTTTTGTGGTACTGGAGATTGAACTCAGGGCCTCTTGCTTGCTAGGCAGGTCTTTTACCGCTTGAGTTATATCCCCAGCCCTTTTTTTTGTTTTTGCAGTGCTTGGGTTTGAACTCAGGGCCTTCATCTTGAGCCACTCCACCAGCCCTTTTTGTATTAGGTATTTTTGAGATAGGGTCTCTTGATCTATTTGCCCGGGCTAGCTTCAAACTGTGATCCTCCTGATCTTTGCCTTCTGAGTAGCTGGGATTACAGGTGTAAGCCACTGGTGCCTGGCCCTTTTTTTTTTTTTTTGTTTTGTTTTTTGTTTTTAGTTTGTTTTTGGGATAGGATACCACTGACATTACCTGGACTGGCCTGTAACTTACAGACCTCCTCCCTTCATCTACCAGGTAGCTGGGATTATGGGCATGAACTACCCCATTCAGAGGAACTGTATATTTTGTATATAGGAATAGAGGAACTTGATGGCATTCATCTTTGTGGACTATTGCAAGCTTTGCAAAATTTAACTCTCCCAGCTCCTTTTCCTTTTGAGTTATACTAGTATGATCATTTTCTGTCTACTTTGAGAGCCTGTTTGGAGGTTCTAGCAAGAGAGCACAGCTGCTTCTATACCCTTGACCAAAAAACAGTTCTCCTCTATTGGGGAAGGTCTTAGTAAGAGCACAGCGTTAGGAGGGAAGCACATGGAGCAGTGAGGGAGGAAGGGGATACCCGCCTAGCCAGTCACATCAGCTAAATCAACATGGAGATCAGTGGGGTGACGGATGTCATAGCCAGAACACCCTTACATCCTCTGTTTGTATGCCGTTCTTCCTCTATATCATATATCTGGGGTAATATCCACATTCCTAACTTCCTAATGAACCACATCACATCTCTAACCTAGAATTATCTCCCAAATTGCCTGCTGGATATTTTCCCTTAGGTATTCCACAAGCATCTCACATTGACATTTTGAAAACAAAACTAATAATTATGTTTCTTTCTAAACCTGGTCCTTGTCTACTGTTATTTTTTTCTAGTGAATGGCAGCATTATTCGTCACCTAGTTATTAAAGTCAGAAAATTGGGTGTGGTTACTTTTACATATTTGCTTTGGCTCTCTAGTCTAATCTGTCGCAAAGTTTAGTTAATTTTGTTTTCTTAAACAGTTCTCATGCTGTTTTCTATTCTCATGGTTATAATTTATTTTAGAATTTATATCTCATTCAAAAATATTTTCAGTATTTATAGTTGGCTTTAGTCTTATACCCCTCCAATTAATTCTCCACGTTGCTGGAGAATTATATTGTTACAATGTAAATTTGATTGCTGTAGCTCTAAATAGTAACTTTTCTCATTGCTCATGGGATAGTTACTGAGTACTTTTCCAAGTTTATCTCTTATTGTATCTCTTCTTTCCTTCTTCCTATACTTGGGTTTCTTTTTTTTTTGTGGTGTTGGAGATTGAACTCGGTAAGTGTGCTATACTGCTGAGCTACATCCTCAGCTCCACTTCTCTGATTTTTTTTCAATTACATGCTACCCCTCTGTAACATATTGGATAACCTGTGACTATGGGCAGGATATGTCTTTTAGATCAAAAGTTCACATGATTCGAGTTGGTCACAAAACCTTTTTTTGCTTGAATACATTATTTTCCTCAATTAAAATATTTTTATTTCCTCAATTTACATGTGAATTCCATCAATACTGACAAAATATCTAAAAAATGCATTACATCTGAAAATACGGGTTTTTTATACAGGATTTTCAAATGTGTATATAGTTTGTATATATATTGCACAAAATTTAAATGGTTCATATAGTCATATGGTGAAAAATGAACCCTTGCACCTCCTTTCCTTAGCCTTTTCTTTTCATCAGTTTCTAATGCATTTTTAATATACATGTGCATATCTGTGTATATATAAACATATAAATACATTTAATTTTCTACAGCTTTCTGTCGTACTGGGGTTTGAATGTTCTGCAACATTTCTTTCTTTCTGTATTTCACGTATTCCTTGATATCAGTGTAGATATTGATCAATAGATATAGATAACAGCTCTGTCAGTATTGATAGAGTTACTTCATTCTTTTTAATAATAGCACAGCATATTATCATTCTCCAGTTAAGAAGTATTTAGGATTTTCCAGTGTATTCAAATTACCTGTGATGTTGTGGATTATGTCAATGTGGAGATACCATTTGCACATGCTTGAGTATATCTATAAGGTAAATTTCTAGAAGTGGAATTTTTAGACAAAGGTTTTCCTTAAAACTTTCATAGATACTGCCAAACTATCTTTTGTAGATATCCTAGGTTGTTATAATGTGTTACACCTTTTAAAAGATTCTGTTGCCAACTTACTTTTACAAACTTTTTGAAATTATACTTTTAAAAGAGATTAGTTGGGACAACTGGGCTCAACAAGTTTCCTTCCTTTGTCTTTATTGGGATTTCATTAGATTTTAACATGAGCCATTCAGTACTTTACTACTAGTTACTGTCTCCATCACTTTAGTTTATATGTAGATTTAGAAGGTTATTAAATAATAGGGAAAATTTCAAATATACCCATACATTTTCAGAAACAAGCCAGTATTCCTAGAGCTAAGTGAAGAAGGGGAGAGTTGTAAGGTAGGGATTAGATCATGCAGGTTTTATAATCCTTGTTAATGACATTAGGTTTTACGTAACAGGAAGTCATTGATGCTTATTGGTAAATTAATAGAAGGCATTTTGCTTCTGCTTCAGGTACTTGACAGTTATATGATTATTTACATGACAAAATGTGTTTTTGCTTATAAACCATAAGCTTTAGGAATAAAGTTATTTTTCTAAGGGCTTTGTATATATGTGCTTTTATACATAAAATCTTCAGTAGGTTTTCTTTTTAATAATTCAGAAAACTACAATATGTAGTTAGTATTATTACTTTTATTTGTTAATAGACAAGGTTGTAAATTAAAGAATATTAACTACTAATTTCTTTTCCCCCGCATACATGTTCAGAGATGATATAACACTACTCAGACAAGAGGTACAAGACCTACAGGCTTCTCTTAAGGTAACAACAAAAATTATAATACTTGTTAATTTTTACTGTTTCACATTTAAAAGTTACTAATTAAAAATCTTTTTCGTTAGGAAGAAAAATGGTATGCGGAAGAATTAAAGAAAGAATTAGAAAAATATCAAGGGCTACAGCAGCAAGTAATTGCTTTTTAATACTTAAATAGTGTTTATTTGTTTATTTTCATTGTTGAAAAGGAAGCATTATACTTTTTATAAGTAAATGGTGTGATGTAAATAGCTTCCTAATTCATTTCTCTGTGTTTAATAACCTAAATGTATTCTTTGCAATTCTAACGACTAGAAACAAATACATTGGAAGCATAGATTTCATTGAGAATCAGTTCTCTATGGATTGCTTTTTGTTAATACTGGGCTTATGTTATTCTGTTTTTCTGGTAATATACTTAAATGGTTAATATAGGTTCAATCAATAATGAATCTCCTTAAAGCATTTGCATTTGTGACAAATTGACAATAACTGCAATGTCTGTTGGTAGCTTTTTATGGTTTGTGTTAATGAAGATTATTTTCAAACATGGAGAAACTGTTCTATTAACAATGTTACATTTTTTAAATGAATAAAAATATATATGGGTATATATTTGCTCACAGACATATAATCCTGTGTTGTTTAATGATGGGAGTACATTCTGAGAAGTGTGTCATTAAGTGATTTTGTCAGTGTGAACATCATAAAGTGTACTTACTCAAACCTAGGAGGTATAACCTCTTACATACTTGGGCTATATGATATAGCCTGTTGTTTCTAAGTTATAAATATGTATTCAGCATTACTGTACTGAATACTGTAAGTAATTGTAATGCTCGGGTACCTAAACATAGAAAAATATAGTGTAAACAATAAGCAGTGGTACATGAATATAGGGCACTTGCTATGAACAGAGCTTAGGATACTGGAAGTTGGTCTGGGTGAGTCATTGAGTGAGTGGTGAGGGAATGTGAGGCCTAGGATATTATGGTATGGTATTTTAGGTTTTATACATACTATATACTGAAGCCACATTAAATTCATACAATTATATTTTTCCTTCATTAATAAATTAACCCTAGCATATTGTAACTTTTTTTTACTTTATATACTTTTAATTTTTTAAACTTTTGACTCTTGTAATAACACTTAGTATAAACCACAAATGCATCGTACAGCCATATAAAATATTTTCTTTGTATGCTTCTCTATAAGCTTTTTTCTGTCTTTAAGTTTAAAAAAATTAGTTGTAACTTTTTAGGCTTTTTGTTAAAATTGAAGACACAAATACATATTAGCTTAGTTCTTCACAGGGTCAGAATAATGAACATTTTTGTCTTTTATCTCCAGTTTGTGTCTCACTGAAGGTCTTTGGGGCAATTACACACCTGGAACTTTTTTCTGGAGTACCTCCTAAAGGGTCTGTCTGGTGCTGTTTCAGTGTTAGCTTTTTCTTTTTTTAAAGCACACCGAGTATATTCTAAAATAGCAATAAAAGTATAGTATAATAAATACATAAACTAGTAACAATCACTTATTGCCAATAGCAAGTATTAGGTAGGTAGTGTATATAATTGCATATGCATATGCTGCACTAAATTTTATTTTTTGGTGGCACTAAGGTTTGAAATCTGGACCTTAGGCTTGCTAGGCAGGTGGTCTTACCACTTGAGCCACTCTACCAGCCCTTTTGTGTGATTTTTTTTTTTGAGATAGGAAGATAGGATCTTGTGAACTATTTGCCTTGGGCTGGCTTTGATTCTCCTGATCTTTGCCTCTTGAGTAGCTAGGATTACAGGCATGAACCACCAGCACCTGGCTGTGCTATACTCTCATATGACTACACCAGCATCGCAACAAACACATAGTTATTTACTGTGCTATATCTTCAGTTGGCTACAGTGTCACTAGGTGATGGGAAATTTTCAGTTCCATGGTAGTCTTATGGGGACTACTGTCACATACAGTCACTCAGAGCCTGAGATGTTGTTATGCAGGATAGGCATGCAATTACTGACTATGTCTAAATAATACAGACACAAAATAAAAAGTCAGACTTACTAGGAAATGCTTTATTGAACCCTTGAGGTGTATATAATTCTTTAAAATGTGAAAATAATGCCTCGGCAGTATATTATTTTGTTACTAATGCCAGGATAATTTAAATCTTAAAGAACATGTTCTTTATTTCTGTGTCTTAATAATACACAGACTATATGTATTCTGTGTGAATTTAACTATGTAAAATGATTCATAGGAGAAAACAAGAAAATCATAGTGGTATTAAAAAGTGGTTATCTGTGAGTTATTTCTAAGTGCCTTATCAAAATATAAGTTTTGTGCTAAAATTATATTGGCTTTATGGTAACATTGTATAAGATATGAAAGGACAATTCATTTTACCAAATTCATATATTGTCTTCATTTTAAGAATAAAGAAGGTATTCTTCAATAATAGTTACATTTTTATAAAGTCAGTAGTAATTCCTTTACACAGTATTTTGTGATGCATTGTGACTTTCAGTTAGGTTTTTTTTTCCTCTTAGTTTTTGCACCAAGAATTGTATTTGGATTGAGAAAGACATCTTATTACTATTTAAAGAGGCTTTTAGTAATCTAAAATACTACAGTTTATTTGCTAATCAAACATGGATTATATTATTTTCTGTACCTAAAAAGAGAAAATGGTTTACATTAGAGATTACTGTTTTACACTTAATAAATTCTCCCACAGTGCAAGATATAAATTACCTTGGTAGGAAATATACCTTTGAGAGAAAAATGTATTTTAAATATTGATTATTCTTAGCAATCAGTATGTCTGAATAAAATAGTCAGGAAATAAAGAAGTTTACTAGGAAATGTCTTACTAAACTATTTGAAGTATATATAGTTCTTTAAAATATGAAAGCAATACCAAGGTGGCATATTATTCTGTTCCTAGTATCAAGGTAACGTTAACCTTAGAGAATATGTTCTTGTAGGAGGTGTGGCTCAAGCAGTAGAGTGCCAGCCTGGTAAGCTCAAAGCCCGGAGTTCAAACTCCTGTTCCACCAAAAAGAAAGAATATGCTTTTTTTTTTTTTTTTATGGCACTGGGTTTCAAACTCAGGGCCTCATGCTTGCTAGGCAGGTACTCTTACTGCTTGAGCCACTCTGCCAGCCTAAGAATATGTTCTTTATTTGCTTCTTTTAAGGATGATCTATGATCCTAAATTAAAAAGTGTATTTATTTTTTTCAGTACTGGGGCTTACACCTTGAACCACTCTGACAGCCCTTTTTTCTGATAGATTTTTTTTGAGATAGGGTCTTGCAAACTATTTGCCCTGGCTGGCTTTGAACCATGATCCTCCTGATCTCTGCTTCCTAAGTAGCTGGGATTAGAGGTGTGAGGTACCTGTACCTGGCTTTTTTGGTTTTTTTTTGGCAGTGCTGGGGAAATGAACCCAGCATTTTATGTGTGCTAGGCACATGCTGTATTACTGACCTACACCCCAGCCCTTAAAATCATTTTTTCCAGTGGTTTATAGTTTGATGGCATATTTTAACTTATGCCACTTTTCAAATATTATAGTTGTTTTATATGGTTGTAATAAGGAGATGATTGAGATATGATTTCACAAATGACATGGTTTATTGCCATACAAAGAAATGTTCTCAGGTTTGCAATGCTTAAAGAAGGGAGAGTAATGTGAACAAATCTCACAGGGAATACACTTACAGGATGAGGTACATTAACCACAGAGTTCCACAGTGATTAAAGTCTATGGCTCAATTGTGATAGAAGCAAGTCTCTATGGAAAGAAGGTCTGATGAAAATTTGAGGTGTACCTTTATGAGTGATTTCTTGGAAGTGAGGCTTTCCAACATGGTGGAGATCTTTGATGGGGATTACTTGCTGCTAGAGCATGGTGCAGTTGTTGGTGGGCAAGACTTCCAAGTTCAGAGACTAACAGTATGTGGTCGCATCACAGCTTGAGCTATGGATCTTGGAGAAATAGTTAACAGAATATTGTCTACATGGCCTACTTTCTCATAGTGTCTATCAGACTCTTAGGTTGTATGTTTTGAAGTCCAGTACTTGAGGTCAGTAACTCACAAATGGGGTATGATAAGTTTGTTGTTATTCTAGAGGGGAGGTTTATTATTTATTTACTACTAAATTTATGGAATTTAGGATACCATCTGTTATAAGACTCATAAGAGTTTCATGCACACACACACACACACACACACACACACATAATCATACAAAGAAATCTGTTCTAGAGCTCATGAGCTGATGTTAAATCATTATGTTATTCTGTCTAGTTGCACCTTGTAGATCCAGAAGAATGAGAATTACCAAACTTTGATTTTCACCAAAATCTTGTACCTTACCTGACAGACATGGCTTTCAGAGATTTTTAACATTGATAATTGTACATTGTTGTCTTCTCTTTTTAATGCATTTATGTGTATCTTTTGTTTTCATTGAGGAGTCTAAACCTGATGGATTGGTGGTGGCTGGTTCATCAGCAGGTAACTTTCTTTCTGTTCTTTCTCAGCCTGTTTTTTTTTTTTTCTTTCTCTAGAGCCAGCTAATAGAATTTTGTTTGTGGTTATACTTCATGGCTATAAATCATGAGAGGTAATGGTTATATTCTAGATTAGGAATGTTGACCTGTGCATTTCATAATTTGGTCAGTTACTAAAATCTTATGTTGTTTTAGTTCATTATATTATGAAGTTATAAATAAATGCCTGAAATAGTACCACAAATGATTCTTTAATGAAAATTTAAGTCTAGAAACTTTTTCTTTTATGGGACTGGAGTTTGAACTAAGGGCTTCATGCTCGCAAAACATTTGTTCTACTTCTTGAGCTGCACCTCCAGTTCATAAAAATTTTAAGACTATATTAAAGAATGATACAGGCGTTATACCTTGAGGTAAGTTGATGGAACTAGCGTCTTTGTAGCTATCTTTAAGTGCAGGAATGCTCAATGAATAATCAAAATTAGATATTGAGATTAGCTGTTATATTTAAGATGTCTTTCCTTTTTTAAGAATGAAATACCAGTAGGAGTTGGCTGTATTTCTTAAGTGATTAATTTTTTTCAAGTTCTTGGTTTTTCTTAACCATTTCTAATATCTCATTTTATTACCAATTTTATCAGAGTTGAAGAGTATGTTCTTTTGTGATCATTTGATGGATATTGGAAAACAATTGTGAAATACAAAATCAAAATAACTTTAAAATTGGGTGTGGTGGTACATACCTGTAATTCCAGCATCCAGGTGGCTGAGGCAGGAGGATTGCCAGTTCCAGGCCACCTTAGGCTATATAGGAAGGTTCAGGCTGACCTGAGCTACAAAGTGAGATGTTGTCTCAGACAAACAACACCCCCCCCCAAAAAAAAAACCCAAAGAAACTCATATAGCTTATTTAGAGACAATTCTAAATACTCTGTTCATGTTGATGTATTCATTTCTACAATGATGATGATATAAATAACAATTTAGTGTATGTGTTTAACATTGTATGTAAATAGCTGCTACACTTTCTTTTGTAGAACTGCAGTTATTGGAACAACAATTAGAAGAAGCCCAAACAGAAAATTTTAATATTAAGCAAATGAAAGATTTATTTGAACAGAAAGCAGCGCAACTTGCTACTGAAATTGCAGGTAAATTGAATCAGAATTGTTGCCAATAAATCTGTCTTATTTCCTTTACACCATTATATATCCTAGAAATATAACATAGTATTTCAGTGCAATAAACCATTTGTTATAGACTATTATAGTGATCAAAAGAATATATTGATACCAGAGTTGATTTGTAAATTATTTTGTTTGTCCTCCCTCCTGCCTTCAAAGGACTAGTTTTATTCTGTAGATTCTTCTTAGAATTCAAAGATAAATTTTTTTTGGTGGAATGCTTAATGATTAAAAAATAGTATCTTGAAGCAACTAATTACATATTATAATAGAGATTTAACACTTGGTTATGCTGTCAGATATACATACTATAGTTTTTAAAATTATGTGCTGTTATTAAAATGTTGAATGTGATTAAGTATTTGTTAAAATTTAAATTAGTAGCTTAGTGTTGGGTGGAATTTATATAGACAAAATCATTTAATATTTTTAAGTTCATTATTTAATGTAATTCAAAGTATAATTTTATTGTGCAAATTTGTAGTATTTAACGAATGTGACTTGATATTAGAGTGCTGTACAGATATGCAGAGCAACATACAGAAATTTATAAAACTGTCCTTCCTTAGAGTTAATTTATGAAACTAATATTTATCTTACTTTATTTAATTAGATTTAAAGTCAAAATATGATGAAGAAAAAAGTCTTCGAGAAGCTGCTGAACAAAAAGTGATGCATTTGACAGAAGAATTAAACAAACAGGCAACTGTAATTCAAGATCTGAAAACTGAACTGGTAATTTAGAAACCACTTATTGGAATGTACCTTTGTACATACTCTGGATTCTTCTTCCTCTTCCTCCTCCTCCTCATCCTTCTTATTCCCTCCTCCTTCTTCTACTTCTTCCTCGTTTTCTTCTTCTTCCTCTTCCTCCTTCTTCTTCCTTCCCCCTTCCTTCTTTCTTCTTCCTCCTTCCTCCTTCTCTCTTCCCCCTCTTCTTCTTCCTCTTCTTCCTCCTCATCTTCTTCTTCCTCCTCTTCTTCATCCTCTTTCTACTCCTCCTCCTTCTTCCCTCCCTCCTTCCTTCCTTCTTCTTCCTCCTTCTTTATTCCTCCTCCTCTTCTTCCTCTTCCTCCTTCCTTCTTTTTTCTTCCTTTCTTTAGTTGTCATTGTCTTCTTCTCCTTCGTCATTGGCATCTTTGTCTTCTTTTTCTTTGTGATGCTGGAAATACATATCTGAATATTTAAAGAAATATTTTAAAAATAGTTTGAGTAAGTTGAAGGAAATAAAAACAATTTCCCATACTCTGTCACCTGTAATATATACTGTATATGATTTTTAAAAAATAGAAGTGGAATATTATGCATAACTATAACATTAACATTTTTGTTATTTATATCTAAACATAATGTGTCTTTTTTAGTATTTTCCACATCTGCATCACTGATCCTGCCATTCTCTTACACTTTAGTTTTATAAACTCACCTATTTTTAGGATACTCCCAGTAGAATTTCTATTTTTCATTTCAAATTCAATAAGTATAAAACCCAAGTCATACTTCTTCTGTGATTTTATTCTGTCATTGGTATTGTTCAACTTTCTCCCCAGGCTTTACAACCTTGGATCTGTTCTTGAGTTTTTTCTCTCTAAGTAATGAATAAATGTGAATATATGAATAAATAAGCTACAAGCAGTTTGCTGCAGACATGCTTATACTTACATCTTTTTCTTTTTCTTTTTTTTTTTTTTTAATTTTATAATGTTGGGGATAGAACCTGGGCCTTGTGGATGCTAAGCAAGAATTCTACCACTGAGCTATATACCTTCATTTTCATTACCTGTTTCCTAAGAAGGAATATCAAGTCATTGTTGCTACTTATAGATGCAGTTTGTGAAGAAAAGGAAAGCCAATGCCACACTAAATATAATTGTGAATTTGCTATATTGAACCTTGAGTAGTAATATTATTAAATATAACATAGTGTGGGAAGAGGAAGTTGGCTTGTTGGGGGAAGGTGTCAGTGTTTGATATTTGGAGTAAACAACTGATCACAGGATTGCTTTCATTTTAATTTTTTTAGTGAAACTATTCTATGTACATCCTTTTAATTTTTTAATTTTATAATTTTAATTAAAATATGTATCTTCATAGCTTCAGAGGCCTGGTATAGAAGATGTTTCTGTGCTAAAGAAAGAATTGGTCCAAGTTCAAACATTAATGGATAATATGACCTTGGAACGTGAGAGAGAATCTGAAAAACTCAAAGATGAATGCAAAAAATTACAAACAGAATATGCTAACTCAGAGGTAATGAAGTTAGTGTACTTAACTGTGATTGATATTAGCTTGTATAGTGCATACTGTTGACTAAAGCCGAGATCTGAGATTTTTCTGAGTGGTACTACAAAACATTATTTGCTTTGTTTCATTTGCTCTGAGGAATATTTGTCCATAGTCATTGTGGCCTGATAGCCAGTATGCTTTAATTTCACTTTATGAAGCTAGACACTTGGAGAGGAATATTTATACAATAGATTATTATTTTATTTGACAAAGGTTATATGTGTGGAACAATGATTTTTAAAGTTAAATTTACTTAAGTCTAGTTGATAAATGATAATTGAGTTCAATCTTAATTTGGTAGGAATAAAGGAAGAATTAAATAAGTTTTACAATTCTGTTACAAATGTTGGTTAAGAAAAATGTTTAGGAAAGATTGATTGATCGATTGATTTTTGAAACGTGGTCTCAGTATGGTGCCCAGATTGGTTTCGAACTCCTGGATTCAAGTGAACTTCCTGGCTTAGGCTTCCAAGTAGTGGGGACTGTAGGCATGTGCCAACACACATTTTCTAATAAGCTCATTTCCAATTGATAGATGTTAAATTTATGTAGTTGAAAGAAATATTAAAAATTATCTAGTCTAATACTCCATCTACAATTCCCTATTACAGAAACCCTGATGTGATCTTCTTTGATCTTTGCTAGGTGGTACAGGATGTGCATATTTCTTCCTAAATCAACCCTACTGTTGAATTGACATTTGTTTGCATCAGTTCCAGCTACCTTCCCAGGAATTATAGAGCATCAGTTGTTACTCTTTCCATATAAAATACTTGAAGAGTATTCATATTCTTTTCCAGAGTAAACATTCTTACTACTCTTTCTTATATGGTGTAATTTTGGCATGAGTTCCTTGTATTTTTATGTCAATGTATGACAAGATATAAGATGTGTAATTAATGTATTTAAGAGTGCTACCCTTTGTCTTTTTATTGTATTATAGGATATATTTTGTTATGACAACAATTATTTGCTGTCTTAAAGTTGTCTTACATGGAGTGAACCTCAATTTTTCATATTGTTAGTTTAAAAAGTCATTATGATGACAATTCAATTTGTTTCTCTGTCTTAGAAATTTTATCTGGTGATCCAAAAGCTACTCTATTCAAAAATAGTACATGAAACCAAACTATAGAGTGTAAATATTAGAGAAAACCATGTGTAATTCTTGCTTTTATTTTCCTTTTTCCTTTATCTTATCAGTGGGGGAATTGTGGAGATGTATGTGTTTCACGTGCATAGGCATGTGAAGCCTTATGATGTTTAACATTAATTCCCTAAAATGCACTTCATATCCCAATAACGTATCCCATAGTCCCATTATTTTTCAAACAATTGCAGGGGGGTTCATAAACTTATCAAAGTAAGTTAAAAACTGGATGTGGTGGAGCACACTTATAATTTCAACATTTGGGATGCTGAGGCAGGAGAATCTTGAGTTCAAGGCCAGGCTGTGCTGTACAGTATGACCCTGTCTCAACAAAACAAAAACTAAAGAAAGGAAGTATAACTTGGTAATTAAAAAGTATTTCTGAGAAGTGTTTTTATAATTACTGTAGCCACTAGATAAAGGCACCAGTGACTTACACCTGTAATCCTATCTACTTGAGAGGCAGAGATCAGGAGGATTGTGGTTTTGAGGCCAGCCCAGGCACATAGTTTGCGAGACCCTCTCTCAAAAAATACCCAACACAAAAAGGGCTGGTATAGTGGCTCAAGTGATAGAGTGCCTGCCTAATAAGCATGAGGCCCTGAGTTGAAACCCCAGTACTGCCCCCTCAAAAGAAAAGAATTAGTATAAATTTAATTTTGAGTAATTGTGAAACAAGTATGACATTTATGCCTTACTTCATTAATAGATATATAGTAATGAATGAGACCACAGACTATATTAAAATATTTTTTATAACTTTAAGAAGAGGTAGCATAAGAGTCAGACTAAATTTACTATTAGTAACAAATTCTTACTTTTTGAGCACCATTTGATTTTGGGTACTATGGTACGTACTTAAAATATTTGGTCTTATGTCATTCCTATAACCTGGTAAGTCAAGTATTAGATCTGTTTATATATGATGAATCTGAGGTTCAATGAGGTTAAATAACTTATTCAAGATCTCTACCTAAAACAAAGAAGCTACAGTTTGAGCCCAGGTCTTATCCAAAAGCCTGTGTTCCTCCTGTAGTATGTTGTTTCCCATTTTAGGTAGTCTGATGATTGCCTTATAAGTAAATCTGTGCTATTAATCTTGTCCTAATATTTATTATTATCACATTTGTATTTTTTCAAATTATATGTTATACTATTTTAAGTAATAGCTTGAAATGTTTTTGAATTGTGTCTTATACCACTTCCATATGAAAAAATTAGCTTAATTGCTTCATTTTGCTTATTTGTTTATAACTTCATTTTTTTAGTTTCTACTTATTCTGAATATGTGGTGTGCATTTTATTAATTTATTAAAATCCAGTTCTATTTAAGTGCAGATTATGCCACTTGAACTTATTAGAAATATTTTTATAGATGTGGCTACTTTTATTGAATTTAAATATTGACATCAGAAACAAAACACATTAAAGTCATTAAATGCTAATGGAGTGGCTAAGGAGATAGAGTGCCTGTTTAGCAAGCTTAAGACTCTGAGTTCAAGCCCAGGACCCTAAAAAAAAAAAAAAAAAGGTTAAGAAAAGCAATTAAAGACACTAAAGTTACAAGGATTCATTAACGGGTGTTTGTAGTTGTACACTGTTACATATATTTTTACATTTGTTACTTTCACTGAAAGTATATACCTTATAAATTCATTAACTTTTTTGTCTATATAGATTTGAAGGTATATTTTTTCATTCTAAAGCATTTGAAAGTGCTTAATAAATAATTGGCTGTTTTATAGATTGAAAATTGAGCATGTAAAGGTTAAAAAGTTCTAAAATGCTGCATCATCAAAAATATCTATAAACTATAACTTATGTTTAGTTTGGTCTTTAATGGAAATGATTGTTAAAGAATTTTATTTGTATTCCAAATGAACTCATTACATTCCTAGTTTTAGGAGCAAAAGTGTTTACATAGGTATAGAGTAATTATGATTATACCAATGCATAGCTGTTAGAGTGTTTAAATATCTTTTAAACATATGCTAATTTAAAAGATTATACTTGTAGGTATGTTTGGACATTTTTATTGTGTGCTTAATGTGTACTTTTGTCATTCTTGTGTTTCACCTTTCATCCATCATTTTATTATTTTTTTCTGCTTTCTAAAGGAGATGCTTAAATTTGAGGTAATGTGTCTTTGGAAAGCTTTTTAATATTAATAATATTCCTGATCTACTACCTTCTATTATCATGTGTCAATTTTGTGTTTTAAGGCAATCTCAGAACTTCAAAGACAAGTTTTTATTTGTTATTAACCAAATTTTCAATCATTTAAAAATGATTATTTCCTACTAGTAGTAGAATATTTAAACAATAATTATAATTCTAAAGCATCAGCAGGATGTTTGATCAAAATATAGTTCCTTAATTATTTTGTAAATTAAAGGTTTTAATAAAAATTCAGTGTTAAATTTAGTAACATAACATCAAGGAAATACAGAATTTTTAAGGGTCTAATATACTTTTTCTATGGGAATAAATATCTATAAAGTCCTTGGAGGTCTAATCACTCAGAGTGGCTGGAGCTATTTTAGGTGTGGGAAATACAACACTGTGTAAGTCAGTGCCTGCTCTCATAAAAAAGTGAACCATGATACGTGTTAGTTTTTCATTGCTGTGACAAATACCTGAGAGAAACACTTGAAAGGAAGAAATACTATGTTGGCTCACTGTTTCAGAGGATTCAGTCTTAGGTCAGGCAGAATGTTGACAGTGAGGGTGTATTGCAGAGGCTGTTTAACTCATGCTAGATAGGAAGCAAAGAGAGACAGAGGGATGGGGTCAAGACCCCAAGGGCATGCCCCCAAGTGACCTAATTCCTAGGTCCCACCTTTGAAAGTTTCTGTCAACTTCCAGTAAGGCCATCAAATTATGAATCTAATCACTGATTAGGTCTGAGCCCTCATGATCCATTTGTTTCTCAATGATTGGATTCATTAGCTGGGGACTGTAAACCTTTTGGGGGGATACTTCATGTCCAAACTGTAACATGATAGAATGTCAAAATAAGTGCTATGAAAAAAAAGAGAAAATAGTAGTCTGTGCTGTAGTAAAGCTAAGAATAGTGTGGACAGTTTGAGATAGAATAGTCAGGGAAGATCCAAAGAAGGATATGAGTGAGGAGAATAAACCAGAATCGAGGTGAAGTACTGGAAAGAATTCCTGGGAAGAGGTTATAGCAAGTACTGAATTTCAAGGCACAGATGAGCTTGCCCAGTAGGATGGCAAGAGCATCCATTGTGATTTGTGAAGAGGAATGTATTTTATTCCTTTGAAATGTTTGTCTTTCTTTAATCCTATTTTTTCCCAATATGAGAACAGTTCATCACTGTCAGAAGATTACAGTGATTCATGATAGGAGTAGGAAAAGCAATAGTCTCCTCTAATTTGCTTTCCTCTCTCCCTGCCTCACAGCTGAAGTCTACTTTTTGATGCATACTTTCCCACATCTTTCTTTTTTGCCTTCTTGAGTAAATTAAGCAATTTAAGTGATTACACTTATCTTTTAAAAATGCTTATTTTTCAAAGCATCCAAATTTAGTGTATTAAACAATAAATGAGATACCTAATATCTGGTTCTTTAGTTGGCATTACTATCACAAGAAATTAGTTGTCTTCTAAGATTTCTTCGAAGATTAAAGGAGTCATTTGTTATATATAACAATGTATAGCTATTAATGTATTAAGAACAAACTTAAAAATTTGTCTTATCTATAATATGAAGTTTATTCAGCAATAAAGAATATAGAGAATGGAAAAACTAACTTTAAGAATATAGAAAGTAAAGTCAGCAAGCAATATTTTGTTGAAGTTATTTGCAAGAAACCATTTAGTCTTTCTAATGTCTTTTATGTACAGGAAATTTGTATGCCTAAGATTTTTGCTTACTTGGTTTTCTCTCATTGTTTTTTGAATACTTAAACTATTGTGTTAGTTATAAATGTTAATTTTAATGATTTAGAAAATGTTAAAATGCACTAAAGCAAATTTATGTTCAGCTATTACACCTGACTATAGAGTGATCTAGCTTAATGAAACAACATATAACTTTAGTTTGGTAAGCTTCTTTGGACAAACCATGTCATGTTTGCATGTATGTGTCATAAAATAAAAGGAAAAGTTGTACTATAGAAATTGGGAAAAATGTGGACATAGCTTAGTTTTGCTCTTTAAATTCAGGGGAATTAAGGTATATAATAGTTTCAATAAATTAAAGTTCAAAATTTGATGCCTCAGATAAAGATGTCAACATTTCATTTCACATAGCATTAATTAAGTGACGTTGTGCACTTTGGATAAATTTAAAAATTAATTTTAAGCCCCGAAGAAGAGTGAGGTGGAAGAAAGGGTGTTAGGTAAAGAATGGAAGTTAAAAGTTTCAAGTATATATTTCAATTTAAAGACATCAAATGATATTATATAATCTTAAAATCTTTGTATACCTTCCATTTCCTTTTCATTTTAGCTTGTTACATTTTTATTTTATTTTATTTTTAGGCCACAATAAGCCAGCTAAGAGTGAACTTGCTAAAAGGGCCTCAGGAAGTTGCTATATATGGCAGGAGAACTACAAAAACTTAAAGTTCAATTATATAATGAATTAACACACAAAAAATCAGGTGAGAACTTTAAAGGTACCATATTTATCTAAAGTTTTAAATTTGCATTTTTTGATTAATACTGCTTTGAGCTAGCTTCTTTGTGTGTGTGTATACAGACATATACACACACTATATATAGTTAAGTACGTCACATGGCTGTAAAAACCAATCTCCAAAATGCTTTCCATCTTGCAAAACTCATCTGTTTCTTGCCTAAGCTCAAGACAACCACCATTATTTTTTTTCTCTCTGACTTTTGGGTTGCTTCCATCTTTTTTGGCTATTGTGAATAATACTGCTCTGAACATGGGTACATAAATATTTCTTTGAGACTTTGCTTTCATTTCTTTTGGGAATATACCCAGAGAGGAATGCTGGATCATATGTTAATTCTGTTATTAATTTGGGGGGAACTACTGTACTGATTTCCACTGTGACTACCATTTTACATCCTACCAACAGTATATAAAACTTTCAGTTTATCCACATCCTCACCAACACTTGTTTTACTTTCTCTTTTCATTTTTTTTCCTTGAAAGTACTCATCTTAATGGGTGTAAGTTGGTATCTCTCTGTGGTTTGATGTACATTTTCTAATGAGTGGGTTGTTGAGAATCTTTTTTAATGAGCTTGTTGGCTTTTTTAATTTTAATGAGAATAAGTTTACTTTTTGTTATTGAGTTGTAGGGATTCTTTCCATATTCTGTATATTAACCCCTTATCAGGTAAATGATGCACCCCTTATCAAATACATGATTTGCAAATCCTTTTCACTTTATTGTTATTGTTTGATGCACAGAAGTTTTACATATTGATGTAGTCTGGTTTAGCTACTTTCACTTTTGTTGTTTATGTTTTGGGTGTCATGTCCCAGAAACTGTCAAATTGAGTTACATAAATTTTTTAACCCTATATTTTCTTCTAAGATTTTTATAGTTTAGGTCCCATGTTTAAGACTTTGATTCATTTTGAACTAACTTTGTATATGCTGTAAGGTAAAAGGTCTAATTTCATTATTTTTGCATGTGGATATTGATTTTCCTTAGCACAATTTGTTGAGAAGACTATTCTTTCTGTATTGAATGCTCATAATACTCTTGTTAAAAATTATTTGATTATTATCTTATCTGTTTGGGCTCCTACAACAAAAATACCATAAATGGAGTAACTTATAGTTAACAGAAAAATGTTTTTTGCTCTTCTGTAGACTGGCAGATTTATATTTTGTAAGGGCCTGCTTTCTGGTTCATAGATGGTATCTTCTTTCTATATCCTTATTAGGGATATCTCTCAGGTTTCTTTTGTGAGGGCACTAATTTCATTGATGAGGACTTTACTCTCATAATCTAATAACCTCTCAAAGGCCAGACTCTAATAATCATCTCCCTGGGGTTAGGATTTTAGCAGTTGAATTTGAGGAGGACACAAGCACTGAGATCTTAAACAGTCGTGTATATGAAAGTTTATTTCTGGGCTTTCTATACTGCTCTATTTTTATACCAGTATTATACCATTTGATTACTAAAACTTAATAAGCCTGCCCTTATTCATGATTTTTTTACATGCAGTTTTGACCAAGCATGCTCATCAATCAACCAATAAATAAAAGAAATTTCAAAAAACAAAAATTAAAATTTCTGTGTGTGCACTCCAGTTGATTTGAGCAGCTTCTCAGTCAGTCCTGGGTTATCCTCAGTTGTGTTCAAGTCATGTTTAAATCATCAGCTGAGTGTTTCTTTGCCCTTAATTTGTTAAAATATGCTCCTAAAAAGCAGATGGTGCTCCAAAAGCAAGGTAGAAGTTATGGTTATCCTCCAAGCCAAAATGGCATGTAATGTGCTTAATTTGAGTGACTAAAGTGAAATATTTAGATCTGTTAAAAACAGCATGTCTTAGTGGAAGTTGTTAAATCAGGCATTTGCAGTACAATATTAAACTCAATGAATCCTGAGCATTCATGTTTTTTCCAATGGCAATCTCCTTGTAACCGTAAACCCATGGCTATCAAAGGTCTAATATAAGTTTTGAAATCAGAAGGGTGAGACTTCTACTTGCAATTATTTCCTATATTTTTAACATAATGTTTAAATGAGCAATGATAATATTTATGTCAGAGCAGATGTATTAGTATGGATGTTTCCCCACCTATACCTTTACTTTCTGGTGGTAGGAGAGTAAAGAGTTATTAAACCATTTTCTTCATAGATGTGGTAAAATATATATGGCTCTATTTTAATAACTAGACCTAATATTTTGGTGAACTATAGGGAAGGGAAAAGCAAGAAAGAAAAGAAAGTGACAGTAGGGAAGAAATAGATAAATATGAATTGGCTCTAAATGTTAAGCCTCCTTCCAGCAGCCATGTGAATGAGCTTGCAGGCACTTCTTCCTATCAAGAAATTACCTCTAGTCAGCAGCTGATGCAGCCTTCTGGGAGACTTTGTGGAACTACCCAGTTAAGCTGCTGTCCTCAAAAATCGAGTGATAATAGATACTGTTTTAAGTTGCTGCTGCTGAGACTGATGGCAGTTTGTTGCTTGTGCCCTTGCCTACCAGTTATCTTTACATTTTCAAAGTTATTAAGACTCCAAAGATTTTACTTCTGGAGAGATGTGGTTACTATCTCTGTGAAAACTGCCATTATAGAAATTTAAAAGAAAATGTAAAGTATTAATTTATTTAAAAATCATTACCTATTAAAACATTAACCTAACATTTCTTATTAAAAATGAGTATTTTCCCAAACACAAATTTAGTAAGAATAGTGATATTTTTGTTTAAACTTCTTTAATATCTGTCCATTAAATATAGGA